GACTTGGTTTAAGACATGATCAATGACTTGGACTGACACCCAATAAATAACTTGAACTGAAACACAACCAATGACTTGAACTGAAACACAACCAATGACTTGGTTTAAGACATGATCAATGACTTGGACTGAAACCCAATCAATGACTTTGATTGAAACCCAATCAATGACTTGGACTGAAACCCAATCAATGACTTGGTATAAGACATGATCAATGAAATTGTCTGAAACCCAATCAATGACTTGGACAGAAACTCAATCAATAACATGGACTAAGACATGATCAATGAATTGGACTGAAACCCAGTCAATGACTTGAATTGAAACACAACCAATGGCTTGGTTTAAGACATGATCAATGACTTGAACTGAAACCCAACCGATGACTTGGTATAAAGACATGATCAATGACTTGGACTGAAACCCAATCAATTTCTTGGACTGAAACACAACCAAAGACTTGGTTTAAGACATGATCAATGACTTGGACTGACACCCAATAAATGACTTGAACTGAAACACAAACAATGACTTGAACTGAAACACAACCAATGACTTGGTTTAAGACATGATCAATGATCTGGACTGAAACCCAATCAATGATTCAGTTAAAGGCACGATCAATGACTTGGACTGAAACCCAATCAATGACTTGGTTAAAGGCACAATCAATGACTTGGACTGAAACCCAATCAATGACTTGGTTAAAGGCACAATCAATGACTTGGACTGAAACCCAATCAATGACTTGGTTAAAGGCATGATCAATGACTTGGACTGAGAACTGATTAGTGACTCTAACTGACTCGGGTGACAGATGAATTGTGACTTAAAGAAGAAACATGCTGGTCACTTGTTGGGCTACCTTGTATCTGGGGCAGGCTCTGAAGAGGAGATGGCTGAAACAAACAAACAAATAAATAAATAAATAAATAAATAATCAAACAGTAAATTGTTGTTATTTAGTAAATTAATCGATTGATTATAAACAGGAAGTGACTCAGTCAGGGTAACCCTAATTTCACTGAGCTTTCAGACAGATGCAGCAGAAAGTAAAAATACTTATTTTATTTGAGTAAATGTAATCCATTACTTTAACAACAGATTACCAGCAGTAGGTCTTTTATTGTGAAAACATACACTCACCGGCCACTTTATTAGGTACACCTTGCCAGTACTGGGTTGGATCCCATTTTGCCTTCATAACTGTCTTAATCCTTTGTGGCACAGATTCAACTGGAAACATTCCTCAGAAAGTCTGGTCCAAATTGTCATGATAGCATCACACAGTTGCTGCAGATTTGTCGGCTGCACATCC